AGAATCCTTGTAACGCCTCCCATCATTAAAAAGTACTTTACTGATTCTACACAAAAAGGGTGTGATACCACCACTTATTAGGCTCGACGACCAATCCACGGAGTTGCATCCCTACTTACCTAGTCCTTCAGGAGGTCGGTACTAATTAAGCTGACCACAAATGACTAGCTTGAACACCAAAAGTGGTCTAATCCCTTATTTGATCAGACCGCTCACACATGCTAACCTCTTCTACCCCCTTCCACCACCACTGTCACCACCACCACTTCCACTCCCATTAACTTACCATTCATCAAAAATTAAATGTACATCTGGTATGTTGAATAGTGATCTATTGCTCCAAACTTGCTGTTTTTTAATACATTTTGACACGTCAATTACATCATTTCTTCTTAACATATAGGAAGACACGACAAGATGTAATGTGTCAACGTGTGTCAAAAAATTTATTGACGTCTTTCCATTTTCAAAGAAGGGATAATGCGTTGATATGTTAAAAATATATTAGGAGAATATAACAATCAAGAAAAACAAGATATGAATTTTCATTTGGGACTTGATTGTTAGCCTTTTCTTGTCTCATTTTAAAGAGTTTTTGGTGGAAAATGATTTTTTGGAAGTGATTTTTGGAGAATATGTGATTAAATAGTAGAATTTTTTTTTTTTTGGTTTATGTGGAAACTATTTTATGGTTGAAAATGTATGAGAGAAGAGTTTTTAAAAAATTAAGATAAACAGTAATTATTTGTAACTCTGCTGAACTTATTATTTTCAATTACAATTTCATTTATTTTTGGATTTATAAGCCCAAATTCAAATTTTGATTAATTTCTAATCTTACTATTAATAATTAAATGTCAAAGACCTGTTTGCATATAACTAAATAAATCAAAATCTGCCCCCCGGGGCATATCCCAATGGTGCAAAGGATGGGGGTGCAAAGGATTGAGAATCTTTATGGACACTAGTGTACATGCAGCTCTTGTTCTCTGACCTGTTGAGGTGCATCTTGCGATTAACCTCTCTCACGATGCTCTAGGGGCAGAGCGATGGGGGACCCTTAAGGTTGGGGTTCAACCTTTTAAACAAATCAAAATCCAAATTGTTTATCGTTGCTCATTTCTCAACGGAATAAGGTAATACAATATCGGACAAAATAGGACAACTGCATCTTGTCATCCTAAGAGCATCTTTTATTGCATTCTATGACTTGAATTTAGATAAATTTTAAATAGAGTGGGTTTTGATCTACATGACACTAAGGATGTGTTTGATTACATTTATTTTTCATGAAAATATTAAATTTCCACCCAAATCCTATACTATAGGTGTTTGATTGTTACTTTTTCCATTGAAAATATGTATAATTTTCCTTGTTTTTAAGGAAAATATTTTCTTTTGAAAGAGATGATTTTTATTTTCCTCAAAACAAGGAAAACGTTTTCTTTTCTAGGTGATATTTTCCATATCAATCAAACATACTTTAATGTCTAACGAATAAATGACCTAATTTAAATTTCATGTAACAATTGGTTTCGTCCACTAAAATTTTATTTCTAATTTATATTTAACGGTAGAGAAAAATATAATAAATATGAGGAGAAAAAATAAGACCACAAGAGAGACAGAGAAAATATTATGGTGACTTTATTTAGACGATCGATTTTCTTGACAATGTTTACCTTTTTCTTTCCACGTTAACAAACAAATTTTTTAGATATATTGAATTAAAGAGAAATTTTTGTAAGGATAATTAGCACAAAACATCCATATCTTTCAATATTATTGTGCAAAACATCTTTACCTTTCACTTTTTTGGCTTTATAATTATTATTTCCATCTTTCATTGTCAAAAAGACCTTTGATCCACTTACTGTAAGTGAGTTGAAGTGATTCGATTATGTTGGTATTATCCAATAGATTTTGACGTGATAGATATCTTGGAACTTGATGATCAACTTGATATATATATTCTTGACATATGCACTTACGAAGATTTTAGAGGATGACAAAGCTTTATGATCTTGCACAAAAGTTGGTTGTGAAAAATAAAAATTAAAGTTATCTATTAATCTACAAGCTTGTGATATTAACCTTAGTTTTTCTCGTGGCTACTGCTATAGTTGAGAGAGTAATTTTTGCAATGTTAGTTGTCAAAAATCATCTTCACAAGATTAGTAGTTAAATGATAGTTTGAATTCTACATATTGAAAATGATGCAATTGATAATATAAATAATGTAATTATTAGACGTTATCAAATTATGAGAACTCATAGAGAATAATTATAATAAGATATCGAATATTTAAATTTTTTCCTCACTTTTTGGCAAGTTTGATTGTGTCGCACCAACACAAAATGTTTGCTTCCGCCATTGATTTTGAAGGGGGGAAAAAAGGGCATAAATGTACTGAGACTATTTTATCGTTAGTGTTTGAAAAAAAAATTGGCATTTTTGTATTGAATTAATGGAGCAACTGACGATAAGTGAATTGAAGGACGTTTTTGGTAAGAAAGATGAAAATAAAGGTGAAAATACCAAAAAATAAAAGAAAAAAATATTTAGCATCATAATATTGAAATGTTTTGTACTGATTTTTCTTTCTGCAAATATTATCTATCCTAACTAGGGTCAATTTTTGGCTAAAGTCGCTTGTTCCATGCCACATAGGCCGACCCTTTGCCTACAAGAGGGGGACATGTTTCCCCCTGAAAATCCATGGCCATAGCAAAACTCTCACAAGTTGTTAGACATTCATTTTTATGAAAAAAAATGAATTTTTGCAATGTTAGTTGTCAAAAATCATCTTCACAAGATTAGTAGTTAAATGATAGTTTGAATTGTACATATTAAAAATGATGCAATTGATAATATTGAAAATAATGTAATTATTAAACGTTATCAAATTATGAGAACTCATAGAGAATAATTATAATAAGTTATCGAATATTTAAATTTTTTTCGTCACTTTTTAGCAAGTTTGATTGTGCCGCACTAACACAAAATGTTTGCTTCCGCCATTGATTTTGAAGGGGAAAAAGGGGGATAAATGTACTGAGACTATTTTATCATTGGTGTTTGAAAAAAAAATTGGCATTTTTGTATTGAATTAATGGAGCAACTGACGATAAGTGAATTGAAGGATGTTTTTGGTAAGAAAGATGAAAATACCAAAAAAAAAAAAATATATATTTAGCATCATAATATTGAAATGTTTTCTACTGATTTTTCTTTTTGCAACTATTATCTATCCTAACTAGTGTCAATTTTTCTCTAAAGTCGCTTGTTCCATGCCACATAGGCCGACCCTCTGCCTACAAGAGGGGGACATGTTTCCCCCTGAAAATCCCCGACCATAGTAAAACTCTCACAAGGTATTTGACATCCATTTTTATAAAAAAATGAATTTTAGAATAATAAATTGATTGATAATGGATGAAAAATAAGAAATTTTTTTTATTTAAGAATAATATTATTTTAATAAAAAATATGTAGTTAAAAAAGAGAAAAATATATATTTTTTGATAAAATTGAGAATAAAACGGGCTTTCAATTTTTTTAGCGCTAGATGCTCTAAAACAACGGTATAGTACAGTGTGAACCAAGCTGGTTAGAAAAAATGGGCGTGGAATTGAATTGAAATAGAATGAAACCCCCAAGGCCTATGACTATAGCTATTGGCACGCACCACATAGAAAAAAGAAGAAGACAGGGACAGGGCCCTCTTCTCTTCTTTCCCCTCACAACAGATCCGAGAAATACGTTGATCAGTCTCTCTGCCCGGTTTCCATTTTCTGATTTCAACATACACGCCAACCTGGAGCGTGTATTTCACTTTTTCCTCATGTTATTATTATTATTATTTTTTGTTTCAATAATAATCATTATTATTTTTATTTTTGTCTCAATACAAAGAACAGTCACCTATTTATAAGTATTTAACTGTACTAATAGTGATTAAAAAAGTAGGAATTTTTTTATTTGAGACTATTTTTTGGGAAAATAAATGTTGCAAAAATGTCTTTTTAAACAATGTGTGATTTCAAAATATAGAAAATTTTTGAGTTTACGTCTAAAATTATTTATTGGAAAAATGTATAATTAAAAATAAGTTCGGAAAAAAATGAATTTTTAAAGAATGATATTCAAACATGAGCTAAATAATGTAGTTTGATACATCTAACAATATCAAGGTATGATAAAATTTACTCATCCACAAATTGAAGGCAATTATTTTTATTTTCTTTTACGCCTAGATAGTAAATATCAATATATGATGAAGAATTTAAAACTCATGTCTTATATTAATTTTTATGTTGATGCTAGAAGTCATTTACTGCAATACTTGTCGAATTGAATCCACGATGAATTTGTTTTCACCGAACTTAAAAAAATTAAAATATGCAAAAAATGATAGTCACGGTGCGCAAATTTAACATGGCAAAAATTTTGTAAATTAGATAAAGAAAAAAGTAGGGTTGAGATGTTCAACCTTTTATGTGGTGTAGTTTTGAGTTTCCAACTTTAAAATCTTATGCGAGTTTCTGTATCCTCAACTTGTGTAAATTTGTAAATTTAGGTTTCTGTTTGTAAAAATCATTGTTGTAAAAATTAAAATCATGCTCTATTTTCACGTGAGCAAAATTTTGATGACAAAATCGTCAAAACACTAGGTTCATGTTCAGTTCTTATTTTTTAAAATTCATTTTCAATCATGTATTTCATAAAATTCATTACTTTTATCAATTTTCAATCATATATGTTATTAATTTTTATCAAAATGTAATAAAATTTGATTTTTATTTAAACCAAACAAGACTTAAAAGGTCTGTAAATCATTTGAAAGCTGTGTAGAAATTCGACGTTTGCGCATACAATTGTAGTCATGTGAAGACCTAAAATTTATAGGCTCAAATAAGTCGAAGATCTAAAACTTCGAAGTCCAAAAAACCGATCAACAATCTAATTAACAAAAAATAATAATAATAATAGTAAAATTATTATTCATCATGTCATCTTTATTCTCCAAATTTGTGCTTAATTATTGGAGCGTTGGAAAAATCCAACTAAATTGAAGAGTATGAAACTGTACCTAACTTGGCATCTTTATGCAGTTTTGTACAGTGCTACCACTAGCCCTTTCACTCACACTCTGTCCTGTCATTTCACTACAATTCTGCCATAGCCAACCCCACTGCAAACTCTTTCTTACTTTTTACCCTCTTTACACCAAAATCCCCAGCTATTTAACCCTTTCTCCCCCTTCTCAATCCCACATCCATCGACCAAGCATAAACAGTGAAATTTGAATTCTGGGTTTGTTGATTATTTGAATTTTGCGGGATAATCTGTCGGAGTATGGTGGCTCCATCAGCGGTGGTGGTAGTGAGATGAAGGAACGGCAGAGGTGGCAACCGGAAGAAGATGCCCTCCTCCGTGCCTATGTGAAACAACACGGTGCTAAGGAATGGAATCTTATCTCTCAACGAATGGGAAAAGCCCTTGATAGGGACCCAAAGTCATGCTTAGAGCGATGGAAAAATTATCTAAAACCCGGAATTAAGAAGGGTTCATTGACGCCGGAGGAGCAACATCTTGTCATTTCGCTTCAGGCGAAATACGGTAACAAGTGGAAGAAAATCGCCGCCGAGGTTCCCGGCCGCACCGCCAAGAGGCTGGGTAAGTGGTGGGAGGTTTTCAAGGAGAAACAGCTTAAACAACTACAGAAATCGCATAACAGCCGCCAGGAGTATGATAATCATGTAGCGGGCTCTGCCGTGGCCAATGGTGGGTCGCCGGAGAAGGCGGTGCAAGGGAAGTACGACCATATCTTGGAGACTTTTGCAGAGAAGTACGTGCAACCTAAAATGTTTGCATTTCAGTCCCCTAACATCATTATTCCTCCTAATCTTCCACTCCCTGAACCGCCTCCGGTTCTTTCACTCGGTTCATCCGAACCGGTTCAAGTATCCGGACCAATTCTCCCGCCATGGATGAATAACACCACCTACACCCAGACGACGTCGTCTTTGACATCGTCTTCTTCCTCCACTCACTCTCCTTCTGTAAGCCTAACTCTTTCCCCTTCCGAACCGGCTGTTCTCGACCCGATTCACCCAGAACCCGGATTATCCTCCCGGTTCCTACCAAATCACCAATTGGGCACTCTGATTCAGTACTGCAAAGAACTTGAAGAAGGAAGACAAATCTGGTTACTTCACAAGAAGGAAGCTACATGGCGCCTGACCCGCCTCGAACAGCAGCTCGAATCGGAGAAAGCACGAAAAAGAAGAGAGAAAATGGAGGAAATAGAAGCCAAAATAAGATCTTTAAGAGAAGAAGAAATGGCGTTTATGAGCAGAATTGAAGGAGAATACAGAGAACAACAGATTTCATTGCAGAGAGATGCTGAGGCGAAAGAGATGAAGTTAATGGAAGCATGGTGCAGTAAGCATGTGAAATTGGCTAGACTTGTTGAACAAATTGGGTCCCGCCATGGCGGCACTGGTGCAGGTTCTAAAGATTTTCACTTATAAGCTAATTGTGCTGTCAAGGTTGTTAAATTAGTATAAAATAATGCAAAAGAAATAATTTCTTTTTTGATATATACTTTCAATTGCATTTTGTCGTTTTTCAAGTAAAATAAGTGAGGATAACTTTAAAAGAAAAATGCTTATTGTATAGAAAAAAATTTCAGAATTCTTACAAACGTGTCTGAAATGGGGTAAATTAAAATATTGCAAAAAATAATTCACCCACTCTGCATGTGTGTATTCTGTAAGATTTATGTACAATAATTTCTGTACGAATAACATTGCTGACTTTAAAAATAGGCTAAAGCCCTTTGAACAACTCTCTGGACGTCCAGGGATTGTGTGGCTCTAACCGTCATAGGCCCCCTCTTGCCCCCCCCCCCAATGGGGGTGGGGTTGGGGTGCTGGAGGTTGTCACCGAAAAATAGCTCTTAAAAGTATTAAGTGCCCTTAATTGGGAGTGTAAGCGGTTCGATTTTATTGATTTTTGACAAATTTTCAAATCAAACTGTTAAAATCGGTTTGAGAAAAACTAAAACATAAACCAAACTATTATGAACGGTTTGAAAAAAAAAGTCAAACTTAAAATCTAACGATTTGATCCGATTTTAAACCGTCGGTTTCGTCATATTTTTTGTTTTACTTGTCTATTTTTATGTTATTAATTCATTGAATTTAATATATATTTATATTTTACTATCAATAAATTTAAAACAAACTAAGCTTCTATTTGAACCAAATTTTTGGAACAAAAAAATAAAAATTTGGATCGTTATCCCACAAGTATAGCCGCATTTGTTGACCTGCTAGTTCGCGTGTGAGACCCAACCTCCGCTCCAAACGGTCAATTTTCCTCATTATGATGATATGGAAAATATGGCTCAAATATAGCTAAATATATATACTATAAATTTAAATACCAACTAAATCAAAGTGAAATCACAATAAACTAAAATATAGTTTTTTTTCACTCTTTTTAAGCTAATGACGATACAATAACGTTACAATACAAGTTTACTAAACTAGATATAAGGTCCAAAAAATATAATGATGTCCAACATGGCCTCGTGATCATTATATCTGAAAAAAAGGATACTGATTAGACAAAGAAAATAACCAACCACAATAATAAAGCAGTTGTTTATAATATCTAAATATAACAATCACACAAATTTACGTTTGTATGATATTACAAAACACATTTAATTTCAGATTTCTTACCTTAGTTTACTCCAAAAAAATGATTGATCTAAAACGTTATTCTTAGCAAATATTATTATCGAATGTCCATGATCTTTGTCTCCAATTTGGTATAATAGATTTCAATTCAACTTTGAAGAGGTGTGAAAATTTTGAAAAAGAAGTGTGTGGTGCTGGTGGCTCAAGACTGTGTTGGGTGTTGGCTGGAGTTCATCTAGATTCTAAAGAGGAAAAGGACTTTTGATAAATTATGTTAGTTTTGAGATTATTAGATATAAATTAGAATTATTGGATAATAATAATATATTTGTATTAGAAAATTAGAAATTGATAAAAATACCCACAAATAACAAAAACTATTGAATTTTACATATTTGCATGAATTTTAAAAAAAAAAATCATTTTTTTCTTTTTTTATTTTTATATATTTTTTCGTCGGTCAAGTTTAATTTTACACTGCAATTAAAATTCTCAGACCTAAACCACAAACATTCAAAAACATTTCGTTGACCAAATCCATGTGACACCAAACCAACAGTTTGTAACTTGCGATTTCGATTCGATTTTTCAATTTGCCCATTTTTACTTAAAGCCCTACGCTCAATAGAATTATGCGCTGCAAGGTCGAGATTTTACCAAAATATGTGTAGGTGTAATTGTAACTAGAATGTTTATCAGGTTTTTAGTTATTGAGAAATAAATGTTAATAATTCAAACGGAATAATTAATAACTATATAGTTGGATAACATCACCTATTCACCATAATCATCATTATGCCTATGCGCGGTTTGGTTTAGGTTGATTTCAACTCCAATTTGAAACTAAAACCAAATTAATCGGTTTTAGTGAATTTCAACTCAAATAACCCACTCTAACTCTTAAACTGAATCGAACCAAACCATTGATTCGGTTAATCTGTTTGAATTTTTAGTTCAAATTGAATTTTAAAAAAAAAAAAAAAAATTGTCCAAGTTTTGGACCCAAATAGATTACAATAACTAAAATAATTAAATAAATTTATATTACAAGAATTATTGATTAAAAAATAAAATGAGATTAATAGAAACAGATCAACAAAAAACTTAAGAATTTTGTTGTATTTTATGCATTATGTAGTCTAGCTATCCGAATAGAGAAAAATGGTGATTATAACATATGAGCATGTGAAAAGAAATTTTCAATATTATTACTTATTGACAACATTATAGATTGAAGAGAATTATGATATAGTTATGAGATTAAGGCTCATCTTTTGATTTTTATTTAAAAAAAAAAAAGATAAACATGTAAGTGGGTTTGGGTTGGTTCGATTAACCATCGATTTGATGCTTCAAACCATGACCGAACTAATCTACTATGATTTCATTTAAAAGAAAACCTAATCAAACCAATTATCTGTGTCAAACCGATCCAAACCGACCTAAGTTGGTTCGGTTTGATTGGTTGATCGATTTTTCGGATTTTTTGCCCAGGCCAAAATCATCATCAGTAAAAAAAAAAAAAATAATAATAATAATAA